TAAATAAATTAAGCTTTGTCAGGTAAGAGAGGGAACTGAGTTTTGAAATAGGCCAGAGATGAAAATCAGGTTTTGTTAAACACCTAGAGATGCTGCAATTGAGTAGCCTGCAATTGAAAGGTAGATCTAAGAAGTAAAAATACTAAAACAATACTAAAAAAAAAATTAAGATACTACTTTGTTATAAAATAACTTGATGATTCTGTGTTAATTATACATGAATCAGTCTCCTACCATCAATACAATGAACTTCGTTAATGAACTGACTCTAATGTGTGCTTCTTTGCCCCAAATGTTATAGGACAGAATATCTAAGGTTTAAAGGTGAATCCTATGGGAGAGGGTATAGCATTCACATATCATGACATATGTATGTTCATTCTATGCCCCATAAGTGGCAAACAGCATTCTGGGTACTTAGGGCATGAATGTGAACAAAATAGACAAAAGCTGTGAGGTGTGGAGTATATATTACAACAAGAGAAGAAAAAGGATAATCATATAAACAAATAAATAAACATGTTCCAGATGGTAATAAATTTTATAAAAATAATGAACCAGGATGAGGAGAATAGAGAATACAGGGATGCTATTTTAGAGAAGGTGATCAGGAAAGATCTTCCAGGCACAGTGACATTTGACAGAGACTTACAGAAAGTAAACAATGAGCTATATGGATGTTCCAGGGAAGTGCATTCCTGGCAAAGGAAACAGCAGGGATAGCTCAGAGAATTTTTGTTTAAGAACTAGTAAGGCAGGCAGCAAGTGAGGCTGCAGGGCTATGGGCAGAAGGAGGATGGTAGAAGATGATGGCTCAGAGCTGGTGATAGCAAAGAGGTGAGATCAATCACAGCCTTTTGGCCACTTTAAGAAATGTGGCCAGTCTATCAAACAGGAAAAATGTGGCACATATACACCATGGAATATTATGCAGCCATCAAAAACGATGAGTTCGTGTCCTTTGTAGGGACATGGATGAATCTGGAAGCCATCATTCTCAGCAAACTGACACAGGAGCAGAAAATCAAACACCGCATGCTCTCACAAATAGGTGGGTGTTGAACAATGAGAACACATGGACAGAGGGAGGGGAGCACTACACACTGGGGTCTGTTGGGGGGAAATGGGGGAGGGACAGCGGGGGGTGGGGAGTTGGGGGGGATGGCATGAGGAGAAATGCCAGATATAGGTGAAGGGGAGGAAGGCAGCAAATCACACTGCCATGTGTGTACCTATGCAACAATCTTGCATGTTCTTCACGTGTACCCCAAAACCCAAAATGCAATTAAAAAAAAGATTGCTGTCTTCTTGGTGAAAAGGCCCTTTTACCGTTTGAAATGTCTTTTTAACTCTGATGATTTCCTTGTTTTGAAGTACATTTTATATAGTAAAGCCACCCCAGCTTCCCTGAAAAAAAAAAAAAAAAAAAAAAAAAAAAACAAGAAGAAACTTGGCTTTTCCTTTCACTGAGGCAAGAGGCCACTGGACAGTCTTGAGTAGAGTGATGTGATCTGGTTTCTCTTTTAAATAGTTTATTTTGGCTACTCTGAGGGAATTGAAAAGAAGGAAGGGTGTAGAAAAGGACAGCAAGCTTTTGTAACAACTCGGACCAAGGGTGCTAGTAGCTTAGACCACATTCTTAGCAGTGGTAGTGAGAAATCAGCACCTATCCTTATCTGAGAGTCAGCGGGATTTGCTGAGAGACTGGGTGTGGTGTGTGATAAGAGAAGTGAAGAGAAGTAATCCATGATGCCAAGTTTTCTGATGCATGTCATTAAAAGGGTGGGGCTGCCATTTACTGAAATGGAGTTGATCATCGGAAGAAAGTAAACCTGAAGTCCGTTGGTGGGGGCATAATTATTTTGAGATACTTATTAGCTTTTCAAGGACAGATCAAAAGATGTGAAATGTTTATCTTGAAAAGAACTAAAGAATTAATGGACTAGAGGAATATGGTAAGATTACCAGATAAAAATCACCAGAGTTTATGAATTTCCTCCAGTGGATTCAGAACTCCACCAGAAATGAGAACAATTGCATTAGAGCAAGAAGATAGTGATGTTTGGTGAAGTGTTAAGGCTTGGAAAAGTTACTTAGTAATATTTTATCGTCTATACATGATAGGGGTGGGGATATTATGGCCAATTGTGTGGCTTGGAAAAGTTCCTTACTTGATTCTCATTTCTTCTTCTCAACATGCAGTTCATATAAATGCAGAAGAGAACATCTCTTTCAGGTTATTTCAGGAGCATTCTCAAACTAACACCCAGAAATTGGCAATTTAGGAAGGGAAGAAAGAAATCTTCACCAATTACCTGCTATGTTCCAGACACTGCTGGCTGCTTCACACATATTACCTTAATTAATCTTTCGGACACATTTTTGAGATGGAAACTCTTACTTTCATTTTAGGGGTGAAGAAAGTACCATAAGGTTAAAGATGCATCTGCTTAACATAGCTAGGCAGGGATAGAACATGGAATTTGCCTTACCTACAGTCACTTCTATCTGAAGAAGTTGAAAAACTGCCTCCAAATATTTTGGTATGGGATGGGGTACAGAAATACTTGCTAATAACTTGTTTGACTGCATTATGTCTATAGAAGAATATATTAAATTCAGAAAAGAAATAATTTTAGGAATGTAAGCTTTATGAGGATTTAGTCCATGCTATCTTATATACAGGTGTATTCTATTAATTCACTCACCTAATATTCATTTGGTGCTTACGATTAGAAAGGAGGCTTTTTGTTTGTTTGTTAACTTGTTCGAGACAGTCTTGCTCGTGGCTTAATCTCAGCTCACTGCAACCTCCACCTCCCCGGTTCAAGCAATTCTCATGCCTCAGCCTCCCGAATAGGTGGGACTACAGGCATGCACCACTATGCATGGCTAGTGTTTGTATTTTTAGTAGAGACGGGCTTTCATCATGCTGGCCAGGCTGGTCTTGAACTCCTGTGATCCGCCCACCTTAGCCTCTCAAAGTGTGGAGATTATAGGCATGAGCCACTTTATGGGGCTAGACAAGGAGTTATGTGCTCCATAGTTAAATAAGATACAGTTCCTGTTCTTGAGGATTTCCTATTCTATATAGACAGCCAGATAATAGCATACTGTTTCTGCTTTAAAGACTGTACTCCTCTTGCCTGTTTAATATTCATCAACTGCCTATAATCCTGGGCTTTGCAAAAAATCATTCACTGCTTTTTGCAGTGATCAGTTAATCAAGCAGAGCCACAAAAGGACTCAAGCAAGGGTAGTAGAAGGCTGGCTTCTGGAACACAGGAAAAGCCTCTGTTAGCCAGAGCCCAAGGTTCTAAATGCAGACGAAGTCAAAGGCTGGGAAGAAAGCAATGTGTGTTCATAGATAGCATGGACCCAGGAGATCAGCCCCAGGGATGGAGATCAGATGGAAGCCAACATTGCTGGTCTGAAGAGAGGCAGACCAAGTTTAGAAATTCAAACACAGAAGTTCAACTGTTTCAAAGAGATTTACTGCAGCTTTGAAAAATATGAACTGAAAATCAGGGTGAGTGTTGCAGGGCCCACAAGCTCCCAGAAAAAGATAGGGAAGCACTAACTGGGGAGACTGTGTGTGACTCCTCAGGCTTCAGACCTGTCTGAAGATGCTGTATATCTTTCTCTATCAGGATCTAGGGAAGATAAGATGTTCCCTAGGAATACTTACTGCTGCACCAGGAGGAAGGGACAGCCACAGTGCCCAAGTCCCCAGTTCCAATAGCCCTTGAGGATCCCTGGTCTACTGCAGCTCATCTTTCAAAGCTGCCTCACGCTGAGTAGTTTTTCTCTCTCTAAGAGGGGCCTATTACCCTTGCTCTTGGTGGTGAAGGGGTGTCCTAGATTTGCCTAGTTGTCTGGGTTTGGAGGCTAGATCTTGGATTAGAGTCAAACTTCAACTTTTATTAAGGGGCAAGCCTCTTGACCCAAATTTCGTTGGTAAACTCTTATTCCTAGAAAAAGTACAGCATTGGGCTCCCTCTCATTGACCTTTTTATTCTGGAGATTCTAAGCCTAATTCTTCTCCCAGCTAGATTGACATGTCTTGGGATATTACCTGGGTCTGGGAGGGATAATAGGCCATGTCAGGATAGCAGTGGATGAGCATGCTGCTGTGAGGCTGGCTGATGTGGCCCTGGATAAAGCAATAGGCAGAAGGATACACCATTCATACCTGCTGGTAAAGTCCATTGGTAGCCCATGGCTGGGTAGAAAAATGATAGCCCCTTTCAGAGGCTGGAAGTTGAAGTATTAGTTAGAAAACAAGAATATATATAGGTCACTGGAAGTGATGATTCATTATGGTTATTAAAACGACAACAATGACAACCTGCAGGCTAAGGATATCTTTAAGGTATTGTATAATGCCTGAGTAGATAAAATATGAGGCAAAATAAATGGCAGAGAATAAGTGGATCTGATTAGTGGATGACTTACTATCCAAGATGTAGCATAATTTCCACAAGGCTATAAATTCTAAAATATGCAGTTAATGCCATAGAAAACACAAAAGTATAAAATGCACTGGGATCTCAATATGCCAAATGCACTCCAGAGTCCAGTGGGGTTGATCTTGCTGAGGATGGCCATGCCTCAACAGAGTTTAGTCTCCTAGGCCTCAGGTTATTTACATTATCTGATAGCATAAAGGTACGTGGCATCATGGAATGAGCTGGGTACCACGTTGGAGAAATCTCCCTAGATACCCAAGGGTCCCCTAGCACATCTCATTGTGTTTGTATGCCACTACCAGTAGAGAACAGAGCAATCTCAGATGCAGCCTCTGCCAATATCGAGATTCCTTCAGCCAGATCTTTATGTAGTCTCAGAAGAATGGAATTTGGTTTTTTGTATCCTGGTCCTAGATCTACTTCATACTGTGCTAAGCGAAGTGGCTAAGAAAATGCAGAATTCTTTCAGACTGAGATCTGTTACGTTGCACTATATCAGATAATCATAAGGACTGTGTACAGCATAGGGTAGAATTCACTTGTTTTATTTTTCAACGTTTAACACAGTGAAATATTTAAACATAAATTATTGGATTGGCTCACTCATTTATTTGCAAGGAAGCTCCTGAATCACTGTATGACCCTCATGCCCCACCAACTCATTCCTGAAACTTGGAACTGAAGCTTTTTTTTTTTTTTTTTTAAAGAAATACCAGTGCAACAGAAAAAAATGCTATTAGGCTGGGAACAATATAACTTATTCTGACCCATGCTTCCCTCTCTCTGGAATTGCTCTCTACGGGGAATTGTATCTTGTTCTTTGGCCATTCTCATGCAGTGACACTGTTCCTTCCGCATGCACCTGTTAGGATTCAGAACAAGAAGTCACTTAACTCTTGTTATGTAGAATAGTTAAAAGTTCACAATTATTCGGGCACTTGTAACTTTGATGTTTTTAAATATAAGAAACATCTGCTTGGAATCTGACCCACGTTTGTATTTCATGGGTCAATCAGAAAATTAGGCAGGGTTTTAAATGATGTTTTAACTGCTGTGCAACGTGCAGGCTAAAACCCTTCCTCTAGCTGGATGCTTTAAAAAGAAAGAACTCACCCAATGTGGCTGCCTTCTTCCAAGTGTTGACTCCTCTCCAGAATTTGCCTGCTTTTGTCACTCGCCAGTGCCTTCAGGTAGTTGTTTTTGTAGTTTTTCCAGCATTTATAGTTATTTTCTTTGGGAAGGGCAGTCTGATTGAAGCTTATTCAGACATTTTAGAGGCATCTCTGAGGAAACAGGAAGCAAAATTTGCACTGTTAACCCTTTGCTTTGCAATCAAAAGGTTTGTGTTTATTAGATACATACCCCTTTCTTGGCTTTTATTCTTTCCTGAAAGGTATATAAAAAAAATAAAGGAGAAATAAAAAGAAAGGCAAGAAGATGAATGGAAGAAAGAGATGAAAGAAGGCTTTTGATTAATGTATAATAACATTTTTACAATTACAGCATCAGGCAGAATATTTTCTCTTTCCTAAAAGTTTCCAGTTCTCTGCCTATTCATCACTTCCTCCTTCCTTTCAAATTCATGAAAACCGTTCATCCTTTCACTGTCTCTGTAGTTTTGCCGTTTCCAGAATGTTACATATCTGGAATTATGCAGCATGTAGCCTTTTCAGACTGACTTCTTTTACTTAGTAATATGCACTTAAGATTTATCAATGTATTTTAATAACTTCATAGCTCATTTTCTTTTAGCACTGAATAATATTTCATTGTATGGATATACCACAGTTTATTCATCCATTCACCTACTGAAGAGCATCTTGGTTGATTCCAAGTTTTGGCAATTACAAATACAGTGCTATAAACATCTCTGTGCAGGCTATTATGTGGATGTAAGTTTTTAATTTACTTGGATAAATACCAAGAAGTGCAATTGCTGGATCATATGGGAAGGGTGTATTTAGTTTTTTAAGAACTGCCAAACAAACTGATATAGTGGCTGTACCATTTTGCATTCCCACCAGCAATGAATGAGAGTTTTAGTTGCTCCACATTTTTGTCAGCATTTAGTGTTATCAGTATTTTCAGTTTTAGCATTCTACTAGATATGTAGTAATATCTCATGGTTGTTTTAATTCTCAATTCCCTAATGACATATGCTACTGAGAATACCTACAATTTTGCATGATATAAACCACTGCTGCCATTACTTGCAAACACCTAATTAAAACTTTCTATATACTGGGCACTATGTAAAGTACTTTTCATCTATTTTCTCATAAACTTATGAGTCAGAAACATCATTATTATGCATTTTCAGAAAAAAAAACCTCTGAAGCTTAGAAGAGTTAAGTACACTGTGAGTAAGTGTTAAATCTATGACCCTGGGGTCTTTCTGACTCCAAATCTCATCTTTTAACCACTACATACTTTTTTCCTCAAAGTGTGATCCCAAATCTCCTATGTCAAACCAAGTAGGATGGTGATAAAAATTCAAAATCCTGAATTGTACAATATTGCATCAAAATCTTCATGCTGGGTGTAGATCTGGAGTGGGAGAGTCTAAAACACTCAAGATTAAAAGCCACGATACTATCATTCTAGGATTACTCAAAGTCCAAATAGCAGGTTTGATGTTTTGTTCGTATCTTGTATTTCTCTTTGCAGTACATTTATGAAAGCCCTGTTATTTATATAAAATAAATTACACTAAAAACATTGAGAGTGTATCAAATATAGGGTGAATATATAATTTTCTATGTTCCCTAATTAAGGATGCTATAAAGTCTTTTCCTCATACACTTTCACCCTAGAAATAAATTTGACAACGGGGGAAAAAAAACACTCGATTCTGTCAAACATCAACTGTGTATCATTCTGATATAGTCTGAATGTTTGTGTCCTCCCAAAATTCACATTTTGAAATCATAACCACAAAGGGGATTATGTTAGGAGGTGTGGCCTTTGAGAGGTGATTACTCGTGAAGGTGGAACCCTCATGACTGGAATTACTGCCCATATAAAAAACACTCCAGAGCAGTAGCTTGCTCCTTCCCACATACGAGGACACAGCAGGTGCCACCTATAAACCAGAAAGTGGACCCTCACCAGACTCCAGATCTTCCAGAGCCTTGATTTTACACTTCACAGTCTCTAGAACTGTAAGAAATCAATTTCTGTTGTCTATAAGCTACCCAGTTCATGACATTTTTGTTATAACAGTGTATGGGGACTGAGATGTACTTTATGCTAGATAAATTGAACAAAAATCATGCAAAATATTTCTAGCATTTTGACAGATTTCTCTAACTATAAAAGTTTATTTAATGCCTTTTTGTTGGCCAGAAAAACTGCATATCTATTTATGTATTACTACACAATATATACTATATATGCCTGTATAATGTGTGTGTATATATAGTATAGTATACATACTATACTGTAGTATATCACAATGTAGTATAGAGTATATTTCACAGTAATTTTAGGCCATGGAAAAAGCCATTATTGTAGGCACTGTATGAAAACTTAATTTTAATTGTAGTTTATCTTCTGGGATGCATGTGCGGATCATGCAGGGTTGTTGCGCAGGTACGTACATGGCAAGGTGGTTTGCTGCCTCCATTCCCCCATCATCTATATTAGGCATTTCTCCCCACATTATCCCTCCCTACCCTCCCCACACCCTGCTGTCCCTCCCCTAACCCCCCCAAGTGACCCCACTGTGTGATGTTCCCTTTCCTGTGGAAAACTTATTAACTATAATAAACAGACACCTATTTACTGTGAGACATTATTAAGGATATTGGCAATAGAATTCCCTGTGTTCAAATCTCTTTTATGCTTCTAAATCATTGTGGAACTTTGGGCAAGCTTCAGTAACACCTTTTACGTCTTGGTGTAGAAGATTCTAAATGGAGATAAGGAAAGCCTTTACTCTCTAGAATCATTGAATGAAAATAATTAATGCCTAATTCACATTAGGCATGTAATACATGTGAACTATCATTATTTTCACTATTATGATTCTCAAAAATATTAAAAATAGGAATTGACTCAACAGAGTGGTAGAGTAGAAAGAGTGGTAGAATGGTAGTGTGAGACCCAAAAATGTAAGGATATGAATAATATGTGACAGATCCATAGTGTAGAAATTAAACACTCTGAGAATGAAAAACAGAAGAAATCACTTTTCATGGGAGTGGGCAGGGTTTCTTTAAGAAATCTAAATAAACTTGAAAATATTTCTAGGTGAAAAGAATGTACATTTGGAGTAAGTGTCCTAGGGATGTACACATTTAGAGACTTTAGCACTTTTTGACAGATAGGGAAACACTCTTTGGACCCTCAGACACAGCCCATTGTGTCAAGACTTTGTGGTTTGAGGAGAGATGGTGCCAAGGCAGGTGCTATGTAAGAAAGGCATCTCAGGCACATGAGGAGAAGGCATCCTTTCAATACTAATTGAAGCTCAACTCCAATAGCAACCTAGAAGCCCATTTGCAGCTAGAAATTTACAGACTGAAGACTACAGTCTTTTAAACAAGCCTGTCACTGAATTCGCAAAGACAAGAGGCATTGTCACCTGAAGCCACAATTCCTGCAGGCTAAGAAGAGCATTAATCGTTCTCTGTATCACGTAGACTGTTTAGTTCTGCAATAAGAGTGGGCTCAGACTAGGACTCATTGCTTTTTTCAGGTAAATTTGGAATTCAACATATAGACCATAATCTACAATTTTCTCCATAATGCAGGATTGAAGTTAGGTTAATATAATATTTACCAGTAAGGAAATAAGTTAATGGCCTTATGATGAATATCTCAGTGACATAAATCTCCATTCTTCTTACAACCTCTTGAGTTTGTCTTGGTGTTTGCTAACTCTGAGGAGGTCTAAAAGCATAAACAGTGTCTGTATTCTGCTTTCAATGCCATAAACACATTTTGGAAAGGCAGGAGCAATTTTATAGCCGTACATACACTGGAGAGAGAGCATGACCCTGGAGAGCTAGAGGTTTATCATCACTTTAAAAAGTAACAGTTGAGAAGGAATTGCTCTAAGTATAGCCTGTGTCTTTTATTTTATATTTTTTAATAGCTACCACTTATTGAGTGTTTACTAAGAGCCAAGAACTCTATTAGGTACTGCTTAAGCTTTTATTTTAAATTGAAACACAGAAACAGCAAACCACACAAAATTATTATAAAGAAATACTAACTTAACTGCTACACATCACAAAGAATGAACCATTGCTAGCTACCCAGAAGTCTCTATACATCCTCTGTTCTCTCTCTCTCTCCCAAAATAACCACCATGCTGATGTTTATATTCATCTTTTTTTGCACTTTCATGGTTTACCATTTAAGTAAACATCCTGAGGCATTATAAGGTAGTCATCAATTTTCAAATTGATATATTCAATATCATCAACATGTCATCTCCCTTGTCCACACAAACTCCTTTCCCTTAAAATGAATCTGTTGACAAATTTGGGCCACTTGTTGAGTTTGCCCCAGGGTGGATTTGATAAGTATATTAATATAGTCATGGTTCCAATGTACATGTTCTTCTCTTCTCTGCATTTCCAGCAAGTGGCAGCAGGACCCTTGATCAAACTCAGCTTTTTTTTTATCATTTGCAACACTATAGGTAGCTCTGAGCTCTTTCATCAGGAGGCAAATTGATGCTTAACACCTAGGTTGGTTATTTTTTTGGTGATTACAAAATGGTAATACTCGAATTCTACACATTATTTTTGCACATTAGCTCAAATAATTTCATATGTAAGGTAGTGCTTCCTTTCACCTACAATTCGGTTACCCAGTGGTATAACTCCAAAAAAGACAGAATTGAGGTTTTAATGATAGGTTTTTGGTTAATAAATTGGTTCCCCATCATCCTCAGAAGATCAATTAGGATTTAAATTTATCTGATGGATCCCAATGCACTGTAATTTTTATCCTTATTGAAGTGCTATTTTTTTCCTTCTTCATGAGGTCTTTTCAAGGTTAGCTTTTGATTCCTGTTGAACTAGTAGTCTTTGATATTTCCAATGTTAGTTTGTAGCAAAATGTTTCAGATTTATCTGGTATATTTCTTTTCTTACCTCTATATTCAGCCACTTTTCTAAAAACTCTGTTTTTGTTTTGTTTTGTTTAACATCGCAGTCTGGCTGCAAGTGATAATCATTGCTGATACGGTTGTCAGAGTTAGCCCAGAAAAATACCAGACACCTAGTTAAGTTTGAATGTATGATAACAAACAAATAACTTTGGTATAAAT